CTGAGTGCATCTTAGCATTATGAATTCTGTGCAGTCGCAAACGCATTATCTTTAAGTGGATAAAAGCATTAATAGGGCTCCAAGAAAGCTGTAACAAAAAAGCTTTGGAACAACTAAAACAAACATACGGAAAATTTTATGTTTAAACAAAATGATGGAGTTATTTTTTTCACCAAATTTTCTACTCTATTTATTGGGAGTCATCCTACTCTATATAATCTATAATTTCATACATGTGTTTGAGTAAGTACTTCTCTTAAAGTGCTTGAATGCGTAAGACAACAAAATCAGTGAAAGTTAATTGAACAACACGCACTTGAAGCTGTATACAATAGACAATAAGCAACAGCGAGTCCGTGAGTGGAACCAAAAACCAACATTAAATCGATTGCTGTAGACAGTAGTTTGTTTATTATTTTGCAATACAGGGAGTAAATCTGCTTATGTACCTATACAAAAGTACAATTAAGCTTTTTTTTGGGTGAAGTCTCGTATAAAATAAATCAAAACAAAACGAAATATTTTGTTAAACAATTGTATAGACATCAAAATAATATAAAAAAAAAACAAATTAACGCATTAAATCTTTTCACTGCCATATATTGATATTACAACAACAATATGTCGATAATAGTGTGGCCATCTGAGGTTGTGGGTATTTATCATCACAGTCGGCCGATTTTGAAAAATTAGAACAAACTTAAAAAAACAAGTATGCCGAATCTTATATACCCACCATCAAATCATAACCTGTAAAATTAATATTAATTTAGGAAGGTGGCCCTATTTATGGCCATTTTATTGTCACATGTATATCATCGTTACTTCAGTGTAATTTTCGGAATAGGGACCTTAAAGAGGGCTTCGTTCAATTATTGACTATATAAATAGATCCTTTTCTTATTTGTAACCACAATTTACTTATTTACTAAAATTATTCTAATTTTTTTTATCATATTTAAAGAGTTTAAACAGGTTTTTTTTAATATAAACTAAATACCTCCAAAAATACTTATATAGGAAGTATAATATACAGTGGACCGATCCTCATAGAATTTTGTAAAATAATTTTGGTTCCTATAAAATTTGTTTATGTGAAATTTTTAAACGTTAAAGTAATTTTTTAAGGTGCCATATATGGGGGTAGAGCCAATTATTGGCCGATCCTTATAAAATAGGACAAAGACTTTGGTTTTAAAAAAACCAAATTTCATTGCTATCATTCACTGTTGATATCATTTTTGAAAGGAATCCTTGTATGGGGGCTTGAATCCAATATCTCTCGATCTCCATTTTATTTCCTATCAAACTAGTTAAACCAGCTATAATCGTTAAAGTCCTGCTCTGAGGTGTATTTCCTATTAGTAATAAGGTCAATTATGGAACGATCCTCATAAAATTTTATAAAATAATTTGGCTCCAATAAAGTTTGCTTATTTCGAAGCTACTTAAAACCAGCTATAAGCGCTTAATTCGTTTTCTGAAGGGGACCTTATATGCCCTTACCCCCCATAGGTTAGGGGAATCCTTATAAAATTTTACAAAGAGTCAAATTTTATGTCAAATTTCATTTGCAAGACTGGAGTTTTACGCCAGTTATATATGTGCGTGAAAGTAATTTATTGAAGTGGTCCTTATATGGGGATAGGGTCAATTAATAGCCGATCCTTTTAAAATTTTACTAAGAGATTAAGCTTCGTATAAGACATGTCTATGTCTAATTTATCGTTATAGATGCTTCTTTTAGACAGGTTAGAGAGTTAAAGTTATTATCTGAAGGGGACCTTATATGGGGAGTAGGGTCAATTATGGGCCGATTCTTATAAAATCTTACAAAGAGATTAAGGTTCCTATAAGACATGATTATTTCTATATAGAAATATATATTCTTCTTTTAGACAATAATGAGCGTTGAAGTGATTTTCTGAAGGGGACCTTATATGGGGGGTAGGATCAATTATGGGCCGATCATTTAAAATGTTGCAAAGAGATTAAAGTTCCTATAAGATATGCTTATGCCGAATTTTATTCTTATTTTAGACAGTTTTAGGCGTTTAAGTCTTTTTCTGAAGGGGACCTTATATGGGGGTAGGGTCAATTATGGTCCGATCTTTATAAAATTGTACAAAGAGATTAAGGTTTCTGTAGTACTTTTTGACAGTTTTAAGCGTTAAAGTCATTTTCTGAAGGGGACCTTATATGGAACAAACAATCTGCGTCATTTTCAATAGGCTTCGTCGTTGGGCCGAAAAACACGTATGGTCCAAATTTCATCAAAATATCTTGAAAATTGCGACCATTACCTTGCACACAAGGTTTACATGGACAGCCAGCCGGACAGACGGACGGACGGACATGGCTTAATCGACTCAGAAAGTGATTCTGAGTCTTTAAGGTGGGTGTAGGACCAATAGTTTTGTGTGTTACAAACATCAGCACAAACGTATAATACCCTTCCCACTATGGTGGGAAGGGTATAATAATATTTTGAAGTTTTTGGTTTTGTTAAAGGAGGACCAGACCTGTTTCTTGGACATTGGAACTGTCCAATCAATCACTGTTCAGTGTTCTTGTGTTTCACTATAAAAACCCTCCACCTACTCAACATTCTCGTTCAACTGTTGTCAGTTCGTGTCCGTAAGAATACCCAGGCCCGGTTTTATGAGGGCTAGGCAAAATAATGGACCTATTTTAACCATTTTCAAAGGGATTCGTCCTTAGGTCAAAAGAAGACTAAGTGCCAAATGCCATCAACTTATTTTTAAAGTTGCGACCTGTAGTGCGCGCACAATGTTTACACACAAACAGTCGGACCGACGGACAGACAAAACTAACTCGACTCAGAAAGTGATTCTGAGCCAATTGGTATATTTTAAGGTGGGCTTGAGCTCCATACTTTAAGGTGGGCTTGAGCCCCATACTTTAAGGTGGGCCTAAGTGTTACAAACAGCAGTATTCTCCATACTATAGTGGTGTGGGATATAATTATAAAACTATAATTTTTTCGACAATTCTAAATTTGTAATTAAATTTTTTGCGTTCTATATTTAGTCTCTGTGCAAGTGATTGTGAGATCTGACTCAATTTTTGCTATGTTGTTCCCACTGTGAAGTATGTAGTATAACTCAGTATGATAAATTACTAAGATGCTTTTTAGGGCGCTTGCGTGCGTGCGCTGATTTATACTGGCGGTAGCGAAGTCATAAGAATTTCACACATTTACATCGCACCTTTATTTTCATTTATTATTTAATTTCTCTGGTATGTGATGCGGTCTATGAGAGATAAATTAAAATATTATTATTTCAAGTAAGTAGAGCTCTATTATTATTTTAAACAAAAAACAATTTAACGTTTTTTTTTTGTTTTTTTTTTTTTTATAACAATTATTTTAAACGTTCAAATATTGCGAGTGCTTTTCATAAATTTAATTACGTTTTCATTATTTTTTATTGTTGTAAATAAACAAAAACACCTTAACCTTTTTTTCATCTATTTATTATTGTTTGTTTATTTGTTGTTATTTTTTTCTATAGTTATATGATTTTTTTTATATATTTTTGCTTAAATTTATTATTAACTCATCTTTAGAGGTGAAAGTTGCAAACAATATACAGATGTAGGGAGGGACAGACAGACATTGGTCAATAGTTATCATCTGCAGTGGTTTGGGTTGAATATAATTTTATTTTATATAAAATAAACACATAAATTACATATTTTTTAATATCAACTTCCGTATGGAATTTTATTTTTATTTTTTTTTTAGTTTTATTAATATTTAGCTTTTTATTTGTGTTAAATTTTATATTTTGTGTAGAAAACAGCTGAAAAATATTTCTCACATTTCATAAATTGCAAATCAATGATTAAAGTCAATATTGGAATATTAATTGCATTTGAAAGTGTTAAACATTTTTGTTGGATAATAAGTAATGTTAGGAGAATGTATAAGATAAATTTGACATGGGAAAACATGTCAAAAATTGTCAATTGACATTTGAAACTACATTTACAATATAATAAGTTGGGAATTTAACCTTTAATTTTCATTCAATGCTTTTAATCCTTTAATTCAAAAAACCTTTTTAAACTTTGGATTATATTTAATAAATTTACATATTTCCAGCAAATATGTAGGTCATTTCCTTAGAACTCTTCTCTCTAAATACTCTTCATAGCTTATGCTCTTCGTTAAAAACATATTAAACAAGTAAGAAATTATAGTACCCTACACCTGTTACAAAATTAAAATGTGATTTAGTTTTCATAATAAAGCATTTAAGTTGAATTGTACCTTGTCTCAGATATACTTAAGCCAATTATATTGAATAAAATTGTGGACTTTTAAGTCAAATTTTGAAGGGGGCTTTGTATAGGGGCTATGGTCAAATGAGACCCTATAACTATAAAATTTTTGAGGGTCATCAAGGCTAGTAGAGAACTTGGTTTTTCAGCTTTTTGTCGGGATACGAGTATATTAAACATAATTATGAACTTAAGAGCCTTATTCGGCGGGTTCAGTTGTATGGGGGCTAGATGAAATAATCGGCCGACGTTAACCATTTTCAATAGGCTTCGTCTTCGGTACCATAGAAGATCATGTGCCAAATTTCATTGAATTATTTTCAAAATTGCGACCTGTAGTTTGATTACAAGGTTTACATGAACGGACGGACAGACAGACAGACAGACAGACAGACAGACGGACAGACATAGCTAAATCGACTCAGAAAAAGATTCTAAGCCGATTGGTATACTTTAAGGTGGGTATAGGACAAACCCAATATACCCTCCCAACTAAAGTGGTGTAGGGTATAATAAAACAATTTTCTATTTTGAGTTTCTAGCAACAACAATTTAATTTGTTATATTTTTAATTTAATTTAATCTTATATCCTATTAAATAGTTCTTATGTTAAAACAAACATTCTTTAAAATAATAAAATTAACTATAATTAAATACATACATCTACATACATGTATGTATATGTATGTGTAGAAATATTTTGTGTTTGGAAGTTTTTAAAATAAATAACATTTAGCAAAATTGTGTTTGTTGTTTTAGTGAATTTGATAAGGATTATTACAACAACAATTTTTAATTAATGAATGTTCATAACAAGATTTGGCATACAACAATGAACAATCATAGTAGGAGCATTGTGGAGGTTTTTGATAAACCGAAGTACCTGGAAATAAAAATAATCGAGAATCAATAATGGGTAAATATATTAAGGTGAAATTTTCGTAAAATTTTCAATAAAAAATAACGAACATTTTCTAAGAAAATAATTTTTTTATAAATCATGTCTATAAAAATAAAATTTTGATTGAAAATTTTGTATAAAAAGTGAATTTTGATCGAAATTTTTCTACAAATGAGAATTGTTTCGAAAATTTTCTATAAAAAGAGAATTATTTTGAATATTTCCTATATAAAGAGAATCATTTCGTAAATTTTCTATAAAAAGAGAATCATCTCGAAAATTTTCTATAAAAAGAGATTTTTTTAGAAAATTTTCTAACAAAAAGAGAATCATCTCGAACATTTTCTATAAAACAGGAATTTTTTAGAAAATTTTCTATAGAAAGAGAATCATCTCGAATGTTTTCTATAAAAAGAGAATCATCTCGAAGATTTTCTATAAAAGATAATTTTTTAGAAAATTTTCTATAAAAAGAGAAACATCTCGAAAATTTTGTATAAATAGAGAATCATCTCGAATGTTTTCTATAAGAAAAAGAATCATCTCGAGAATATTCTATAACAAGTAAGAGTGTTATATTCGGCCATGCCGAATCATATAGACCCACCATCAAATCATCCTTATGAATAAATTTGATATTATCGATCTATGTTGAATCATATGTCGGTATTAATATGAACATCAGGGAAATATTTAGAAGAGGGCCTTTAATAAGGGCTTAAGTATGGACAGTGCTCTTCCGAATTAAAAATATTATTTGTTTTGGTCCAATATTTATAAATATAAACTGTTTTTTGTAAGAGTTATATTGAGGGTAGGGTCAATTATGGACATATCCTCATCTCTGTGCTTGTATCTTTAATTCCGTCATAAAGTTTAAAGTAATTTTCTGAAGGAAACCGATAAATTGGATCAGTTATCGACCGATCCTCATCAAATTTAAGTTAAAAAAATGTTAGTTCCTATAAAACTACCGTAATTTGGAAGAACTTTTGAGCCACAGATGAGCGTTTAAAGTCATTTTCTGGAGTAAATCTTACATAATAGTCAATTATAGACCGATGTTACGTTTCGTAAAGAAATTGTTTATTCGAATTTCATCTCTATTCACCTAAGTAGCAATTTTAAGCAAATAATGAGAGTTAAAGTAATTTTACTGAAGTGGTCATTTATCGATCCATCTTCATCAAAGTCGGTAGGAAGCTCCCATAAAATTGTTTATGTTGAATTTTATATATCTAATCGTATTTTAATGCCAGTAATGAGTGTTAAAGGCGTCCTTATAGGGATGGAGGGGGGTGGTGGGTGTTGTCATCGCTGTAGTCGTATTTAAGCGTCACAGCTAGTAATGAGGGTTACAGTCATTTTCTGAAGGGTACCTTATATGGATATATATATTATAGACCGATCCCCATAAAATTTGATAAAGAGTTTTTAACTCGCACAAAACTTGCTTATGTAGAATTTCACCGCTGTACTCGCCGCTTCAAACTAGTAAAGAGCGTTTAAAGCAATTTTCTAAAGAGGACATTATGTGGGTTGTAGGGTCAATTATGGACCCATCTTCATAAACTTTAAGAAACTTTTTTTTGTCGAATTTTATTGCTATAGATGCTATATATATGCTTCTTAAGTTCAGATATGAGCTTTAAAGTCATTTTTTGAAGTTGACCTTTACATTTTCTGAATGGACCTTATGCATTTATGAGCGTTAAAGTAATTTTCTGAAGGGGACTTTATACGGGGAGTAAGGTCAATTATGGGCCTATCTTTATAAAATTTTACAAAAAGATTTATGTTCTCATAAAACATGTTTGTGCCGAATTGCACCGCTATGGACGCTTCTTTTACCCAGTTATGAGCGATAAAGTCATTTTCTGAAGGTGGCTAGGCGAAATCGTGGACCCGATATTGAACATTTTCTATATCAAACAAACTGCATCAACTAAAAGTATCTGTTCATATGTGCAAAATTTCAGCTTTCTTGCTACTTCTATTTGGACTCTATCGTGTTTTCAACAGACAGACGGACGGACATGGCTAGATCGTCTCAGAATCTACTAAAGACCCAGAATATTTATACTTTTATGGGTCTTAGAAGAATATTTCAATGACAAAATCAATATACCCCCATATTTTTTGATGGTGGGTATAATAAGGAAATCATCTCGAGAATATTCTATAAAAAGGGAATCATCTCGAAAATTTCTATAAAAAGAAAAGCCACTCAAAAATTGTCTATAAAAAGGAATAATTTTGAGAATTTTCTATAAAAGGATAATTTTCTCGAAAACTTTCTATAAAAAGATAATTTTCTCGAAAACTTTCTATAAAAAAGATAATTTTCTCTAAAATTTTCTATAAAAAGAGAATTTTTTCGAAATTTTTTCTATAAAAAAAATAATTTTCTCGAAATTTTTCTATAAAAAAAGAATTTTCTCGAAAATTTTTTATAAAAAAGAGATTTTTCTTTAACATTTTCTATAAGAGACTTTTCTCGAACATTTTCTATAAAAACAAGTAAGAAGTATAGTCGGGCGTGGCCGACCATATGATACCCTACACCGGTTATGAATATTAAATGTGATTTATTTTTTCATAATAAAGCATTTATCTTCAATATTCCCTTGTTCCGATACATTTAAGCAATTATTGATGAAAAACTAATTTTCTGAAAAAGGCTTTATATGGGGGCTAGGGGCAAATATGGACCAAGTCCTATAAATTTTGTGAATATATTTATATTTACATAATATTTTATTGTACTGAATTTCATCGCGATATTTGTGTTTATAAGTTAATATTGGACATTCAAGTAATTTTCTGAAGGGGACTTTGTATGGGAGCTAAGGTCAAATGTGGCCCGATCTTTATGAAATTTGGCAGGGTCATCAAGACTTCTATGAAACTTAGTTGTGCCACATTTGATCGATATACCCCTTTTAGGGGTTCTGTTCTATGGGGGCTAGGTGAAATAATGGACCGATTTTAACCATTTTCAATAGGCTTCGTCATTGCGTGCGTGTCAAATTTCATCAAATTATCTTGAAAATTGAGATCTGTACCTTTCGCACAAGGTTTACATGGACAGCCAGCAGACGGACGGGCGGATGGACGGACATAGCTTAATCGACTCAGAAAACGATTCTAAGCCGATTGGTGTACTTTAAGGTGGGCATAGGACGAATATTTTTGTATGTTACAAATATCAGCACAAACCCAATATACCCTCCCCACTAAAGTGTTGTAGGGTATAAAAGAGAATTTTCTCTTTGGGTTTGACTACCGAAGACTCTATTAATAGAACGCACAACATGCCCGGTTGTGGCCTATCTTCTATAAAACAATATATTTTTTTAATTAAAACCGGTTTTTAAACTTTTCTCCAAACAGTAAACTCCCTAATAAATTGCTATGTATGTATGTATATGCATTAACATTAATAGTACATAAATAAGTAAAATAATTCACTACAAATGCAATTATAAACAAAATCTGATTAAATACATATTTCGTTCTCGAGTTTTTTTTAACAAAAATTATCAATAAGGCTTTTACAAAAATTACTACTCAGCTGGCGATGCAGTAGCAAGTAAATGGCTGTCAAATGAAATCGATTAATGAGCGAAACCAACGAGGTTAAATGTCAGACAAATGAAATGAAATTAATGAATAAAAACAATTGATTTATAACGCAAATAATTATAAATATTAATAAAAAAGAGACAAAAAAAAAAAACAATTAAATTACCTGGAAAATCACAGCAACATGAATCGTGTATTAATTTATGAGAACAATAACTGTAAACCGATGAATCACACAAAGGACAGCCAGGCAGGAGAGAGGATGGTACAGATGGTACTGGCGGTGCTGCTGGCATCATAAAACCATTATAAGGATACTGACGTGTTTCCGGTTGTGTTTGTTTGACAGCTGCAGTAGAATCAATAGTAGTCTGATTCTTTGTTTGCTGGGGATTTTCTAAAGAAATTATGTAACGTAATATGTAGTTATGGTTTTTGAATATGATTTATGATGATTTAATCAGTAAAAAAACATAAATTCAAGTACTTTGTTATTTGCTTTACCTATGCTATTCAAATCATTAATTTCACTTTCCGCCAAGGTAAGCCGCCCAAACCGACGTATTTAACATTAACATAAATGCCACAAGCATTGACAGCCTCTTTGATGTTGTGTCGTCATCTTCTTACTTAGTGCGGAACATCTTTGCCGATGCTGCCGTCTTATTGTCACGTTGTTAAACATCTTGTGGTTTGTAGTACGAGTGGTAGTAGTTTGTCTTGTGTATCTTGTTATCTGGTTATTACACAACTAAAACTTTGTTAATTTTTTATAGATCTTAACAACTTTTATTTTATATCAAAGACAACAAACCACACAATCAACCAATCGACCCAACACTCACCCATATAGATAGACACATTTATATCAAGTGGAAGTGCATTTCTTTTTTCTTGTATAATTTTTAAGCATTTTTGTCATTTCATTTCTTTTGTATCTTTTTCTACTGTTTTTAATTTTTACCTGCTTTGTTGTGGTTGTATTTTTCTTTCTGCAGACAGAGATCTGTTCAATAGGTTTTGTGTACTTATCCCAATAAAAATTTGTAAACATTTGTGTTTGTTTTTCGTATTTTGTTGCCCTACAGTATTGGCCAAGATGTTATGTAAAGGCCTAGCTACTGCCTAGTATTTCATATTATTTAAGGGGAATTAATAACAGAGATAAAAACGCCGATGGAAATTGAAGTGGAGGAGGGGAGGAAGAGCGAGGGCCAGGCCAAAGGGAACGCAAGGGCGGGAGGGGGGGGGAAACGGAAAAAGGGGAAGGAAACGGAGGAGGACACAGAAGGGAGGAAGAGAACGAACGAACGAACGAACGAACGAACGAACGAACGAACGAAACGAACGAACGAACGAACGAACGAACGAACGAACGAACGAACGAACGAACGAACGAACGAACGAACGAACTAACGAAGAACGAACGAACGAACGAACGAACGAAACGAACGAAGAAGAACGAACGAACGAAGAACGAAAGAACGAACGAACGAACGAACGAACGAACGAACGAACGAACGAACGAACGAACGAACGAACGAACGATAACGAACGAACGAACGAACGAACGAACGAACGAACGACGAACGAACGAACGAACGAACGAACGAACGAAACGAACGAAACGAACGAACGAACGAAACGAACGACGAACTAAACGAACGAACTAAAGAACGAACGAACGAACGAACGAACGAACGAACGAACTAACGAACGAACGAACGAACGAACGAACGAACGAAACGAACGAACGAACGAACGAAAACGATACGAACGAACGAAACGACGAACGAAAGAACGAACGAACGAACGAACGAAGAACGAACGAACGAACGAACGAACGGAACGAACGAACGAACGAACGAACGAACGAACGAACGAACGAACGAACGAACGAACGAAGAACGAACGAACGAACGAACTAACGAACGAACGAACGAACGAAAACGAAACGAACGAACGAACGAACGAACGAACGAAGAAACGAACGAACGAACGAACGAACGAACGAACGAACGAACGAACGAACGAACGAACGAACGAACGAACGAACGAACGAACGAACGAAAACGAACGAACGAACGAACGAACGAACGAACGAACGAAACGAACGAACGAACGAACGAACACGAACGAACTAACGAAACGAACGTAACGAACGAACGAACGAACGAACGAACGAACGAACGAACGAACGAACGAACGAACTACGAACGAACGAACTAACGAACTAACTAACTAACTAATAACTAACTAACTAACTAACTAACTAACTAACTAACTAACTAACTAACTAAACTACCTAACGAACTAACTAACTAGTTTAGTCTATGATATAGACTGGACTAAACTTGGGTTATATTTTTGAATATAGTCTTGGCTTAAACTTTGGATAAGTATTTAGTCTAGACTATAGTAGACTGGTATTATATACCAAAGCTTTGGTAATAGTTTGGTCTAAGTATAGTTGTATATATGGGCAATTTCGTGTCAAGTGACCACACTATTAAAATCGATGTCATCCGATTTGAATGATATTTGCAGCAAGGTTAGCACTATTGGATAGTAGGCCAGACACAAACTTTCAGTTCTATCGGTCAAGAACTGCCGGATTTAGAGGGGGCAAAGTTGGACAATAAAGAAATAGCTATCTGAACTCCTTTGGACAAGTTTTGCTAGGACAAATAGGTAAAAAGTTACACTCATTTGAATAAAACCCTATATGAACAAAATGCCCAACTTTGGCACCCTCTAAATGAACTTCTAAAAGAAAACTTCATGTATTTTCTAAATAAGTTTACATGTATTTCGAAGTTTTCCGTGCAAATTTTGAATATTCTTCCTGCAATGGCATCCCAGATATTCTAGCACTGATGGTTTTCCCAGATATGTGTATGAATTTGTATGTCCATCATCAAAAATGATTGGGGGTATATTGATTTTGTCATTCCGTTTGTAACACATTAAACAAGTTCTATGTGAAGCAAAATGGCTCTATACAATTTTTATGAGGTTCGGTCCATATATAAATCTACCTAACAAAAATGTTCTCTTTATTTGGGATGTATTCCTTGTATAAGAAATTTTCTTTTTATATTGGCCGGTTGGTGTACTTTAAGCTGGGAGTAGATCTAATATTTCTGTGCATTAATATAGGCACACATCCATAAAACCTTCCCCGCTTTAGTGATGTAGGGTATTATGAAGTGATTTCTATTCCCTTTTGCTGCATCATTCTTTCTTCTGGCTACAACTTGGACTTTGTTAATACATATTGTAAATTTTTGTATATTCATTAGGGTGATCGATTATTCGACATTTTCCAAAAACCGGTTTTCGAATAGTTCGAATAGTTGACATTTAAAAAAAACCGGTTGATATTTTTCAAATTCAGAAAAAAACCGGTTAACCGGTTTTTCATTATAATTGAAGAAAATATATTTTAATTTGAAAAACTTAATGTCTATGTTTAAATTTGATTAATAAAACATGGCCCGAAATGATTTTTAACAGTTTAAAAGATTATAACTTTAGATCTAGTCGTCTGATTTACATTATTTCTTTAATATAAAAAATTAGGAAAAAAGTGGGACACTTCTGTTAAACATAAGGTACTATGTAATCCTAGCTTATTTTAAAGCCCTGTTTAGGAAATTTGCATAGGCATTCCAACTCTTCCATAAAATTTCAGCCGTAAATTAATTATTGTAATTGGAATATAATCTTAAGATTGCTAAATTTTATCAAACAGTTATCAATTTTACAAATAAATTTTTTTAATTAATTAGGAAAATCAAAAAAGTTTAACCAAAAGAGCTGTAGAAAATGTACTCTAGTTCCTCGACTCGAATATTTTTAAAATTTAGACGGGCTGTATTATTATTTACTTAAAAATTTCATTTAAATAATCTTTGAATACAAAGCAAATAAAAGTATTCGAAACCGGGTTTTAAAAAGTGAAAAAACCGGGTTATTCGATATTCGAAAAATCAACATTAAGAAAAAACCGACACTGGTAAAGCAGAAAAAAACCGGTTTTAAAACCAGTTGAAAAATCGAGTCGATCACCCTAATATTCATGTAATCGTTTTAGATATACAATGTAACTGTAGCTGCTGCTGTTAGTGTTTGTAGATTTTTCTGTTCATTTGAACTCTAAACATTAACATTATGTTAATTTATGTATTTGTTACAGTTGTCAAGTGTTAATAGTTGTCATCTATTTTGTTTTCGTTTTTCTCTATTTTTTGTTAAACGATTTTTTTCCATAGTCATTAAAAATGTTTTTTTTTTTTTTTCTTCTTTTTAAATTAAAACTTAAAAGGTTTTTAGTTTATGTGGGGGCGTTGTTGTTTTCCCATGACCATTAAATTTGTAAAATAATACATAAGTGAAAATGTTAAATAATATTAAATGTAGCTACCGGGGTTTAGGAAGTGAATATAACCCTCGGGCTAAATTTTATTTATGAAAATTATGGAATATGAATTTTTTATATTTAAAGTGAAATGGGAAATAAAGGCTTTTCACTGTCAAACATATGTTAGGCGGTTGCCCTATTTATGTCAATGTTTAAAATAAATATATTGCAAATTTATATAATATATTTAAATTTACTCTAACCAAATATGTAAATTTCAATTAAAGTTACATGCACACTTTTAAATGACTATAAATATCGTTTTGTAATCTTGTTTCCCCTTTTCGATTCGTTTTGTTTTTTCTATTACAGTAAATTTAAATAAATAAAATTTTTATTAAACAATTAAGCTTTAAATGGCTTTTAATTGATGTTTAAAATGCTTAAAAAATGAGGCGTTTTTATTACAAATATATAAAATAAATACTTTCATCATTAATTCCCACATTATTATTACTATTTAATAGAAATTTAAATCGAAATACAATATTATTACGCATACCATTAGTAATGATTATATGAAATATGTTTTTAACCTTCGTATAATCGTAACTTAAATACATGCTGTTTTCAACTCTTCCCTATTAATAATTTTAAAAGCAGTAAAGTAAAACTTATAACGAAATTATTTCTAAAATATGAAACCATTAACTTAAATTTTAAATCTTCATATGTAATGAGGATTGGTACTACGAAGGTTAAATTGTATGTTTATTTTTCGTTTAAGTAATAAAAATAATAACAAAATGCTATAATAGAAATATTGCTTAAATCGTGCTATTCAAATAAAAGAAATGATTACAAGTATCTTGTGATTGAAATAAAATTATACGTAATTTTCTTATATATACTTTTTTTGAGAATTTGAAATTAATGACTGATTGTTGTCTAGTGCGCAAAAAAAAGCCACGATTTTATTTGATTGAGCATTGCGTGAAGGCGTAAATTTACTTTTGTATTGGTAGGTGAGAAATGGACCTCTTGCCAAATCAATCATCAATTAGTAACAATTTATATTGGAGCTAAATATATTTATGTACTCTACATTAATATTTGGCCTGTAAGTTAAAAGTGCTGTTTCATTTGTTATCGAGTAAAGAAAATAACTTTTGTCTATATTTTAAAGTTGTTTAAAATATTGACGAATACCTATTGGTCCTAGCAAAAATTGTCCAACTTTGCCCCCTCTAAATCCGACAGTTCTTGATCGATAGAACTGAAAGTTTGTGTCTGGCCTACTATCCAATAGTGCTAACCTTGCTGCAAATTTCATTCAAATGGGAAGACATCGATTTTAAAAGTTGGTCACTTGACACGAAATTGCCCATATATA